TTGTATATAAAACTGATTGATATGTTGTTTATTCTTGTTTTAGCACTCTTTAAATTGCACTGATGACACGTGTGGACAGATTTAATAAAACAATGACTTTTAGCACAGAACTTGTTTCACTTGATTTCATCTATAAAGCCCTGCTCAACTCATTTCCATTATGAATAATAGTATTTCATTCATCTTTGAATGCAAAAGAATATCAGTCTTTATTACAAATATAATTTAGTATAATATATTGAGACTATAATTGGGGTGTTCCTCCATAAAATTCTCAATACATAAATACAAAAAGGATTTACATACTTTAGATTTATGGAGATTTTAATGTAACTCACATGTGAAATTTGAATAAATAGTGCAGCAGTTCAGTACCATGGATAGGAAAAGTAAAATTCAGTACCAGGCTTTGTCATGTGACCACATCCAGTAAGTCCACGTGCTGTACCAGAACCATTAAGCAATAGAGTCACGACAACTTAAATAAATTCAACCATTTTGAAATTCTTAAATTTCCTTACATCAGTCTTCAGTTACTTGTACTAAGATACCTTTTCAGCATTTTTATACTTTAAAGTAAAATAAAAAATAAAGCTAAATGCACTGCTATAGATTAAACCAGAGGTCAGCTGACTGAGACACTGGGTGGTACAACCCAGCTGATTATAATCAGCAGAGGTCAGAACTAATTAGTGGAAACAGCTGCTGCTTTTTCTTACTGCGTTCAGTAGTTTTTTTCCTTTGTCTTTAATTTATTGCAAATAACAACTTCCATTGTATGTATATACCACTGTGTTTCTTACTGTATTATATGACGATAAAACTCTTGAATTGAATCTTGAATATTACAATGTCTCGCGGTCACAAGCTCACGATCACAGAGAGGCTGAGGACATCTGTCTCAGACCTGACCTCCGACCGGGCAGAGGTCAGATTACACCCATTTAGTGGCTAGGAAGGTATATTATAATATTGTTTGTTTACACTTTACTGTTTATATTCTGTATATTTGTTTATAGATTATCTTTTCAGACATGTCAGAATTTAATTAATCCTGAGCCAACAGGTCGCCTGTGCAGATTCTGTCTCCAGCCACTGAAACAGGGTCCTGGCAGCCCTCATATCCATAACGGTTTCCCTGACATTCCAGGGAATTACATCTACTGCCCTCCAGAGTGTTGTCCCTTTACAAGGACAAGGGCATGACCAAGGAGACGACCTGGATGGAAGTCCAGCAGTCTGACCTTTTTGAGGCACAAAGGGACCGAAAAGATGATTTGAGGAGGATTTTATATGCTCACTAGTTTCAGATTCACATTGACTAATATTGTATATATCTTTACACTTTTTACTGCATATATTCTGTACATTTTTATTGTTCCTTTGTTTTACTTCGTAGATTATCAGCCACCTCAGCTTTGATTTTGTGTGTTTAATTATTCAGCCGTGTTTATTTACAATAAAATATCGTGAAAACATGACTGACTTTCTTTACTTGACAGGGTTAGAAATAGTGATGGAAAATTAAATAACACATTTATATTCATATGCTGTATATTTGTTTATATATTATCTTTTCAGACATGTCAGAATTTGATTAATCCTGTTTTCCTGTTTTCTTTGTTCTGTGTCAGATCATTCAGTCTTGTTGTTGGATACTTTGCTCTGTTTCTTCCCTGGTTGTTTTTTTGGTATTTCTTACCTGCCTTTAAGTTTCAATAAGATGACGACAAGATTACATTTTGATATAAAAATACAAAGAGAGTCTTTGTAAATGTTTTCATACAGGAGGATCTTAAAGGGTTAAAATGACTTTTATTTCATCTGGACTTTAAATGTAAAAATTGGCGATCGACTGTCATGGGACTGCTGGAAGACCACAGAGGTGACCTCTGGAAACCTAACCAATACAAGTGCTGCAAGGAGCAAGTTTAACAAAGACATTAGCATTAAGTTAGACTTGTTTTATTGCAGGCGCAATACCAGAGTGTGTGTCAGAGCATCATACTCTGTACAGCTCTTTGGTTGTGGACCAGGGGGATCTCCAGAGGCTGAAGGAGGCTTACACCTTCTGTGGAATCTCTTCTGCTAATCCAACCAAGCAGCACATGAGAGATCACTGCAGGACAAAAGGTGCCACAGCCCAGAGAACTGCTGCAGAGAGTGGAAGACGTCCTCCATCACGTCCACCTGGCTAAAGACACCAACGATGTGCTCCAGCTCAACTACACAAAGGGCAAAGGAGCTGCTGTATCCATTAGGATCCCTGTTAGAGGAACATCTCAGCAGCAGAGCTTCCACTGTCACCAGGCCCAGTGGGTGACAGGCAACTGGGTGTCCAATGAGCTCTTCCAGGTCCAGGTTGTGACGACTGGAGTGTCTGAACTTTCAGAGTCTGGTGGACCTGAAGCAGCCTGATCTGCCAGCTGTGTTTGACCCTGTGCTCATTTGTGAACTCAACACAGCCTGTCAAAGGCTGACAGGGATCAGAAATGGGGACTCAAGTCTGCGACTCGGACTCGAGTCGCACCTAAGTCGCACACACAGAGACTTCAGACTTGACTTGGACTCGTGCTCAAAAGACTTCAGACTCGACTCGGACTCGTGTTTTGGGACTCGTGAACAATCATTATGTTTTCTTTTTTGGCGTATTAATATTGAGGAAACTCTGTATGAAAAATGTGATTCCTTCCTTTTTTTCATGGTAACCATGGTAACCATATTACGCATTGGGTGCGCGCCTCGCGGCCTCACGCACTAGTACCTCGAATGACGACTATGGCGACCGGCGGCACACCTGCAGCTGCTGATGACCATTTGTGATTACATTTGGTTATAAAAACTTCAAACAGGACGGCACCAATAAATGGAGCGCTGACTGCAAAGTCTGCAGTACCTGAATAAAGGATGCTGGATCCACCACATCAAATTTTATCAGGCACCTGAAAACTCACCCGGATAGTTCAGTCACATTAACATATGGACGGTTAGCTCAGCATCAGCTATGTAACGTTCACTTAGCTTGCTACTAGCTTTGTAACTTAATATTTTAATAGATGAGTGACTGTTAGTTTGCTTGTCGCACTTGTTTGCATTGAGTGGCGTTGACATGACGTAAAAAAAAAAAGGTTGGGTAACATTAATCATCTACGTTGCCACCATCTACTCGCTAACGTTAACCGTAGAAAAATACATAGTTATACTGTCAGCTTACAGGCAGGTTACAGGTTAATTGACCACATAACGTTAATGTTACAGGTTTACC